ACTTTTTATATCACAGAAGTTATCCAATTATTTTCGTCGATCATCAGGTGAAGCGATACTTTTTTCAAGGGACTGTAAATGTTTTCTTTTGATCCATATAAATTTCGGGCATGCATTAAATTTGTTAAGAGCAACTTCAAAAGGTGAATGGAAAATAGAATTAAAATCATTTGGATAATAAGATGTGAAAAGTTTTGGTTAGTTCGGTTCAGATAATTGCTTTTTATGACTTTCTACAAGTGGAACAACAACTTGCATCTTAATATTAACTAAATTGTTTGGCACGGATAGAAATAAAATGAATGCATGTGTCATCTGATTGATCTTTAGTTAACTCATCCTAATTCCAATATGATAGGTGCCTTCTTGTATAATCAACCATTTCAAACCATGGATTCCATCATGTTGCAACCGAAAGAGAAATTTTACATGGAGAAGAAACTCCATGGAGATGTGAATGACGTAAATATCTACATTGCCTTGCTGGGCTGATAGTTCTTGCAAGGAATCTTTAATAAGCTAAACTTTCCCCATGTTTCGCTAAGTCATAAATAATAACAAAAAAAAACCAAATTTAATATATGCAATAGGAGGTAAAATATCATTGCTTGTTTATATAAACAGCTGAGTCTTAAATTAACAAACATTGGAATATTGTATTGGAAAAGAGTGTTTAATGTATCCATTCTATGGAAGATATGAATGAAAACTGCCGACATTTTTGAATAAAACTATCAATTATCTCATTGCCAGATGTCCAAGTACTGAAAAGGCTCTGTAAGTGTATATTAATACACTTTTCACGATATTTGTCAGAATATCTTGCTGTTGTTTGCAATTATTGCATTCTCTTGGTTCGCCATATTTATTAATTGCATTCATTAATTCAATGTTATAGATAGACTTTTCTCTACAATATTCCTTTTCATTTTCTGATAGTTCTTGGTTTTCTTTGACTAAATGGAAAAAAACAAACTTTTACTATTTTCATTGTCAGAATTAGTTGGAAAATCAGAATGAGCAATTTCATTAAACCTTTTACGTATTAATCCACTTCTAAAGTATGGTGACATTTTAATATTATTCAAGTAAAATTAATATCTGACACATTAATTATTAGCCTTCTAAAAAATATTGAATAAATTACTGGGTTAAAAACAAAGAAAATGTAACGCATTTTCCAGATCGAGAGTTCATTTTTCCTTGTTTCATTTGGTTAAATGGATCTTTTAAAATATTTAATTTCGAATTCAGTCAAAACATTATCTCATCTTTCAAAAATACAATCAACTTCAAGAAAATGTTTCAAAAATGAAATGTAGTATTGTTCATTTTGAATTTAACATTTGATTTTTGACATCAAGAAAATTATGTATTATTCAATCGTAAAAATGTGTGATTCTTCTGAATTGGAGAAATTAGTCAAATTTATTTTTAAACTTTTAGAAATAATAAAAAAAATTAAATAATAAATATAAAAGATAATTAAATGGTGAAAATAATTAATTATCTACCCATCAATAATTCATCCAATTCCCCAACTTTAACCTTATCAACTACTTATTATTATCATTATAATTATAATTAATTAATAAATAATCATATTTAAATTAATAACTTCAATTAATTTAATGCCTCATTAAAATTATATTTCATAATTTAATAAGCTATCATTACTTAAATTCAATTTAGCAAATTCATCATTTAATATTCTACTTGTGTGATATGCTAATGGATGTGATTTGTGTACTTGTTGTGAATCACCACTACTATTACTAATACTATTATTATTATGATTATTATTGATAATTTTTTTTTGTTGATTATTAGCAAATTCCAAAAGCTCACCAATAGGTGGTCTCTTGGCTGGGTCCACATCCCAACACCTTTTCATCATTTGTGCATAATCATCAGGCATTCCTGATAATATTGGTGGTCGTAAACCTGCACATATATTAAACATTAAGTCGTAATTATGAGCTTTATCATCAAATGGTGAATGACCTGCAAATATTTCCCACATTAACATCCCAACACTATAAATATCTGTTTCTTTTGTGTGTTTTTTACCTTTAAATAGTTCTGGTGCAATATATGATACAATCCCATAAATTTTATTTGATGATTTTTCATCAACTGGTCCACATAATCCAAAATCTGTGATATAACAAGCACCTCCTTGCAATAATATATTACCACTATGTAAATCACAATGAATTAAATCTTTTTCATGAATCCAATATAATGCTTCACATAAACCATCAAAAATATTAATTCTATCTTTTAATGTTAAATTATAATGATTTTTTTGTATGTAATCTCTTAAATTTCCTTCTGAATTATAATTAAGAACCATTGCATAATTTCCATTTTCTGGGAATTTAGTCATACCATGACAAGGAATAATTGAGTTTGATTTAATTTTACAATAATTCAATGCCTGAAATTAATTATATAAATAAATTAATTGATTTAATATAAATAGTATAATTAAATAAGATCAATTACCTCATCAAAAAAAGGTTTTCCTGGATTACTTGAATTATTTAATGATTTTAATACAACATCCTGATTCCCAAAATAAATAAACTTCTTATTTTCATCATAATCATGAATATGTCCTCTTGTCCATCCAGCAGTATAAATAGAACTGAATCCACCTTTAGTTAATTTTTTTATATTATCAAATTGCTCATAAGGTATCCATTCTATAATTCTAACTGGAAGAGATGAAAGCTGTTGACATTTTTGAATAAAACCATCAATTATCTCATTTCCAGATGTCCAAGTACTGAAAAGGCTCTGTAAGTGTAGACTAATACACTTTTCACAATATTTATCAGAGTATCTTATTGTTTTACAATTATTGCATTCTCTTCGTTTGCCAGTTTTTTGAATGGCGTTTTTTAATTCGAAATTATAAATAAACCTTTCTCTACAATATTCCTTTTCATTTTCTGATAGTTCTTGGTTTCCTTTGACTAAATGGAAAAAATAACTTTTCCTATTTTCATTGTCAGAATTAGAATCATTTGGAAAAGCATAATGAGCAATAACATTCATTTCATTATGAATTTTATATACTAGTACTCTTCTGTCTGGTGTTAATAATCTAACGGACATTTTAACTTTTTAATATTTATTTTAAAAAAATTAATTTGTGTATTTTTTTGCAAATCAACATTATTTAGCCTTCAGGAGTACTGATTTGATAAGAATCTAAATTTTTGTTTTCGTATTCCTTTAACATATCAAAATCAATATTAAAGATGCTTAATTTTACCCAATTGTTTCTCTTGTCATAATTTTCACCTTCCTAATCTTGTGGGATATTAAGAATGAGCCAACGTACTTTAATGGATCATTCGGAATTTCCTTGCATGCAGCAGTATCTTGGATTTTTTTTACAATAAAAATATTGAATATAGTATAATAAAACAAAAAAAGTAAATCCAATTTTTCGGATTGAAAGTCCATTTTTTCCAGATTTCAAGTTCAGTTAAAACTTTATATTATCCATCCTCATCATACTCATTATTTTCAGTTCCCTTGATTTCGGACTTTAAATGATGAATTAATTTCAAAAACAAAGCAATCAATCACCCGCGAGACACAACAATACAATCAACTTCAAGACAAATTTGCATTTAAAATTTAACTTTGAGATAATTTTGACTTTTGATATCAATTATTAAAAGGTTGTGCGCTTTTAATCACTCGGTCCATCTTTGAGTTAATAAGTGTAGAGAGCACCATGAT